ATCTTCCGTCCCAACTTCCTAGTTGCGGGGGAGGAGATTGACGGCAGAGGAACCTTAGGCACCATCTACCGTCGATCACCCTGTTGGGAGAGGGGCGTGGCCTGCCTTGGGGCTGTGTGTGTCTATGGATGCACACAGCCACTTGCGAGCACGGCTGGGAACAAACGCGCGCGGGTACCTCTGTAGCAGCCGCTTAGCTGATGAAGGCACCCGTACGAGGGGGGAGCTCTGCGAGGACCCACTAGAGAACGAGGGAATTATCATGTTTAATGAAAAACAAAGGATTTCTACAAGTATGGGCATCCTATTTATAACAATAAAAAAAAAAACAAATGAAGCTTTAATTTTCACCATTAATGACTGAAAAAGAAAAAAAATGTTTGTATTTAATGCAAAATCGCCTACGAATTCAGGTCCCACCCCTTTCTGTTTATGATTCCTCTCTTGGCAATGCTGGAAGTGGGTGGGGTAATTCCAGGGTCGTCCCCTTGTTTTTTTTTTGTCAGTGTCCAAATGCTTCTGTAGGCAGCAGAATAACGGAAATGTCTTTTGAATCCTGCCACCCCCAACCCCCCCCCCCGCCCCACAATTTAATTTAGAGAACAGGATTTTTGTTCATTACTATTGCAAGGGGGTTGACAAGCCAACTATGTGATGGTACAAAGTACAAAGAGTACACTTTATGGAGACATCATGGGTTTGTTAGAAGGTCACCAATTTAATGGGAGTGCTCCTGCTGCTCTCCTTCTGTATGCCCCTGCTGTGGTCCGTGACATGAAACGGGCTGCGTAGAAGTTGGAAGACCACGAAAGCCCCCTAAGGAGAACACTAATGGCAAATGCACATTTGTCTAAAATGCAGCATAATTACTGCTCAAGCATTTTCAGTGCAGGCTTTATTTCAGCTGACATGTCAAAGTACTGTTATCAATGGTTCCAATCAGTGTATCCTCCTCCTGCCTAGTAGCACAGCTAAGCACATTGCCATGGCTTCTGTGTACCTGTTCATTACCACAACTTACCTTCTGCCTTCCTGCCCCATCTTTGATTTGCTGAAATCTCCTCACCTCCTTTTCAGAAAGGTCAGACTTTGCATAGGATTCTTTTGAGAGTTCCATGAAGAAAGCAAATAAGTTACCCATTGATAAGTTGTGGTACCGATTCTTGCTTTGTTGTAGTTGCTTAAACAAACTAATTTTTTTTAAAAAGTTTAGGCACGTTTCATCATTTTGAAGATCATAGAAATGAACAAAATGGTGTCTTTATATTTTTATTTTCCGGATCCATTATTTAAATAATAGAAGTAATCTCCGGCAACAATTTAATTGCTACTCAAGTTGCGATGGAGCATCTCTTTGCAATCATTTCATAACATCATATTTCTTGGTTACTGCATAAAATATACTTTTCTCTTGCAGTCTGTCGCAGCAAGTTTATTAATTCTGCCTTTGCCTTAAATTAAACCATGGAAAAAAATAACATTTCTTCTCGGAAGATGCACTATTTGCGCAGAAAGGTATTCCACAAATTTATCCTTGTTTTAACTGCATCCCTGCATGTGACTTGAAAATGCATGTGTATTTGAGTTGTGCACTGTGCTGTGTTAACAAAACTTAAAAGATTGTATCTTAATCCAATGTTTTCATTTTACAGCAGAGCAAGCATGCAATGGACACAGAAGAAACTAGGTTATCTCCTCAAAAAGTGGCAGTGAGGGACAAATATTGCCAGACTGACCATCACCAACATGGCTGCTGTAATCAAGGTACCCTTTTGTAATGTATGCACTCAATGTTTTCATTTATGTATAAAGTAATGTCACCACAATGTGTCTGCCAAATGGAAATCATGTGGTGTAATCTCACATCTCTGTACCTTGTGAGGAAATCAATGATGTAATGTGCACATATACTGCTCCGTATCCGTAATTTTATTCTCTTTGACATCTGTTGCATGGTTATATTATGATTCCTGATATCCCCCACGAGGGTGGCGCTGGACCTGGGCCCTGACAGCTTGTTCTGGGCCTTCACTCCGAGTCGACTCCAGTACTGTTCTTGTTGTGCAGGAAACTTTTTCCTACTGTGGTATGACATTATGCTTATGGGCCACCTCTGTGGGGATAGGGACCTTCCATTTTTGCTACTATGAACTATGTCTATCTTTTAGCAGTTGCTGGGCTACCCTCCTCACAGCGGTCGCATAGCATTGTGATGTTTTCTTTCTAAGTTTGATAGATCTTCTCCATCGCATGCCCTGAAGTCTTTACTCATGTTCTTTCCTCCAGGGGCTTAACTTTAAATCAAAGGGCCTCCTAGCAAAATTTGGTATCGGGCCCTGTGTTTTCTAGTTATGCCCTTGCAGAGCCCACCTGAGAGTGACCCTGCAGAGCCCGCCATAGACTTTCTATGGTGGGCTCTGCATGTTCTCAGGTGGGCTGGTCAAACCCTCTTACCTGTCAGCCCTGATCCGCTGTCTGCTGCCTCCTCCACGGTCTCTGGCAGGCCCCGCCTCCTCTTCCGTCGCCGGGCCCCGCCTCCTCTTCCACAGCTGCTGGCTGTCATTGACTCGGCAGCGTCTGTGAGGAAGAACTGCACAGACCCCTGATAGGTTGTCTGTGATTTAACAGAGACCCGTTTCTCCTCACACCCGCCATTGACAGCCAGCAGCCTGAGATGCTATAGCGACCCAGGTGGCCCGCACAGCATCAGGGGGATGTCCTGGCCGGGCCCCGTAGCAGCCGCCTAGGTCGTTATGGCGATTGTTATGCCACTGCTTTCGTCTGTACCTTGTCCTTATCCTCTCCGTCTCCTCTCCTCCCCTCCCCATATAAAGTTAACTACAGCTCTGATATTAGTTGCACTAACCGTTCCTTTTGTGAACTGCTTCTTACTAAAGTAAATCAGTTCATGTCTGGATGCCATAGGCACCTCCACATTTGGTAATGCTGTTGAGTGTTATAAAAATCTGCACTTGCAGTTATTTGATAATGTTTTTTTCTATGTTCTTTTTATCTTGGTTCTTTTACTTTTTTTTTTTCTCCTTCTTTCCCTCTTCTCCCTCTCAACCCTTTTTTCTACTCCTGGTAGCAGGGATCCCTCTGCTTTTTAGGACGGCTCCGTTGGGTCTTCATTAGATTATCTGATTGGAAATACTGTAACAATGCTGTCCTCCTATAGTATTCTGTCGCACAATCTCCAGGGTCTCAACTCACCCTGCAAGTGTAGAAAAAGTTTTCACTATGCCTCCCGCAACATTAATATTGTAGGTTTGCAGGATACAAGATTTTCTGACACCTCCAAGCCTAAATTCTTACATAAAGTCTTTCACTCGACATTCCGAGAAAAGAAGCAAGGGGTTCTGTTAGCTTTTCACAGCACCACCCCGTTTATTTGTTCCTAAAAAATAGTTGTTTGATATGGAAATCACAATTATCTCTTATGCTCCAAACACAAGACAAACCCGATTTCTTCTCTCACTTCCTGAGGGTGATTGAGAAGCTGCTTTTAAAGCTTTTACCGCTCATCAATTTAGCGATATCAGTGATTGATGGCCCTAGAATTATTGCTCTCACTGCGACGTTCGCGCCGATATGTAACATGTGCGGCGTAATGGGCGCAATTGTCGTTTTTGCGCACCTGACTCATGTTTGTATGCATGGGTGGGGGGTTTTTTTTTAAATTCTTTTTCATGTGTGACTTAAATTTTTTTGCCTATTTTTCTTTATTGTTATCACATAGGGGGCTAAGAAACCCCCTATGTGATGGCAAAGATATGTGACGGGTCCTCCTTATGGAGACATCAGGGCTCTCCAAGACCCCTAATGTCACCTAGGGACCCCAAAGAAGCTTCATCAGCTTCTCTCCAGCTTCTGAAGCTGGAGAGTGACACAAGAATGTGGAAGTGATGTAGTATACATCACTTCCACATTCTGACAGCGGAGAGGGGACCGGAGGGAGATCGTGAACCGATCTCCCTCTGATCCCCTGTCAGAGAGCCACCATACTGGGACCTGGCTCGCACTGGGCACAGTGGAGCCTGGGATCAGCGTGAGGGGGGTGCTCTGAACGGCACCCCATACAAGCGATCCGCCAGCTCTATAGCCTTCGGACCGCTTGTATGTAAACAGGCATCGCTGGCTGTTTTTTACATTTTGGTTGTTTTGCGTGGGCGGGGCTAACAGGATGTCTTTTGACGCTCCCTGTTACATCCAGAAAGCTCCCGGCCGGCCGGGAGGTGGTTAAAGCTAATATTCTCTCAGTCCCCTGGTCTGCCCATTCTCCATGCTTCTCTGTCATCAAGTCTGACTAATTATATCTGGAGACTAAACTATTCTCTACTTACTTTCGTGGACACAGTAAATCTTGTCTGCAATTGTCTAACTCGATATTTCACTGAAAACACTGATTCTGTCTCCTCTCCGATCTCTTTATGGGAGGCCCACAAAGTTACAATGCGGGGTGACCTTATAAAACTCGCTTCTCGCAGGAAAAAGGAACATGACCGCAAAATGCGGGATCTATATACTAAACCGGAGCGCCTAGAGTCGGAGTGGAAAGCTCATCCCTTTGTTTGGCTGCGCAAGCAGATGGCTTCCAAGAGAGTGGAACGAAACCTTCTCCTTAACGATGAGGCCGAAAAACAAATCGGATGGATTACACGTTTTTTTTCTTACGCCAGGGCTAATAAACCTGGCTCTATGCTGGCACATTTACTGAACGCTAACCCTAGAGGGGTACGATCAATCAAACTCCAACTCTCAGATGGTTCCTTGACTGCGAATCCAACTCCTATTGTATCTAGATTTGCAAAAATATTGACCAAACTTTATAGTTCACCTTCTACCTTTGACTCTAGTAAGGCTTATGTATTGTTTGTGGGCTTCCCTGTCTCGACCCTTTCTGGGTCTATGGTGGAGGTGATGGAGGTCCAATCGGTGATCAAAAATCTTAAGACTGCTAAATCCCCAGGCCTAGATGGGTTTTCTGCGCTGTACTATAAAAAATTCTCAGACATATTGGCACCCCATTTGACGAAATTTTTTAACCATTTGAAAACTGGCACGTGATTCCATCCTTCCTCCTTATTGGCCCAGGTAGTTATCTTTCCTAAACCAGGGAAAGACAGTTTAGGTCCTCATAATTGCAGACCCATTTCCCTATTCAATATAGACATCAAATTACCCTCCAAAATATTAGCTGCCAGGATTAATAAATTCTCGAGCAGTTCATCCACAGGGAACAAGTGGGTTTTGTACCTCATTGCCAGGCCTCTGATAACACTCGAAAGATCATCCAAATGTTTCAACGCATGCAACAGACTAACACCCCGGGTATGCTGCTATCCCTTGAAAATACCTTTGATTCTGTTTCCTGGGATTACCTGTATTATGTCCTTGAGAAATGGGGATTACCACCGGCCTTTTTACAGTGGCTTCGTGTCCTATACCATGACCTCTCTGCCAGCATCCATTATCTCCACTACTCCTCACAGCAGTTTTGTATCAATAGAGGCACGAGACAGGTTTGTCCCCTTTCCCCGATCTCATTTGTTCTAGCAATAGAACCTCTGGCTCATCTCTTACGGCCGAATTCTAGCATCCATGGTGTAGAAGTAGGTGAAAATGAATATAAGTTAAATCTGTTTGCAGATAACCTACTTCTCACGGTTACCCAGCCCCATATTACACTGCCTAACTTGCTTTCCGTCTTAAAATTATTTGAACAAATCTCGAGTCTCTCTATCAGAGGAGAAATCTACGGCTTTCAATATATCTTTACCACAGGGGATAGTGGACTCCATACATCGCAACTTCATCTTTGTCTGGCGCACCGCCCATCTAGAATACTTGGGAATCGCCTTAACCACAGATTATAGCTCCCATTTTAAAGCAAACTATATCCCTATGTTCAGGAATCTAAGGGAATTATTGTCTTCCTGATCCCCACATAATCTATCGTGGATAGGGAAAATTAATGCCGTCAAGATGACAGTCCTTCCAAAATCTTTTTAGGACGCTGGCGGTTGCGATTCCGGGCTTTGCACTACTATCCTTTCAAAATCGTATAATGGCTTTTATCTGGGGAGGCACCAGACCGAGGATTTCAAAATACGCCATGTGTGCCCATAGGAGACAGGGTTGATTGGGTCTTACCAACTTCCGTAAATATTTTCAAGCAGCCCAGATAGCTAATTTTTAACAAACCTTTACTTGTCTATACAGGCGCTGTTGTGGGTGGAGTTGGAGACTGTGTACTGTTCCCCCGATCTCGGTTAGGGCGCTTCCGTGGCTTCCGCTGGGCTCACGCCCCAGGACCATCAGCCCTATGATGCGACATACCCTTAAAGTGTGGGATGGTACTAAATCGTATAGCAATGATTTCCCCTCATTTACTTTTACTACCCCTCTTGGGCAATCCACTATCTACACCAGGTTTAGAGTCTCCTGGGGCATTCTCTTGGTGGACGTCGCACAATATTATATGCCTTCATAACATATTAACTGGGGGAACGTAGCTGGGAATCTGTTTCTACATTTCACTCCTAATTGATTCCAAAAAAACCCCAGAGGCTTAGTGGGAGGAGTTGTATGGTCTGTCCTAACTCTTTTTTTCCAGTGTCCTTTACCCGTTACCTAAGCTGAGAAATTTACAGCTAAGTCAAAGTTACTGTTTTTAGGTCCAAAGATTACTTAACCATGTACACTAACTAGCTCGGAGGATGTTTGATTTCATTCCCAGCTGCCAGTGCGTGCTGCATGCCACCTACACTCGCACTTCCCCGCCTTGCCACACACCATGTATCCCGGGCTGCGCTGCCCCTCCTGCGGGCCTGGGGTGGTCATGGCAGATGTTGGCGAAGGAGATCAGCTGATCAACTCTCCATTCAAAGAACCTAGAAGTGACAAGGATTTCATCACCTTCTGGGTCTGAGCTGTTGATCTGTGCTTAAATTGCTTCATTTAGGGTGACATTAAAGAGAACCTGTCACCGCTAATCAGCTATCACAAAGGAGGCTTGCTAGCCCCTTTATGGGATAGCAATAAAGTTGTGTTCAAAATTAAAGCTTAATTGAAATGAATTAAAACACCCCCAACAATTTTTTTTAAAGCCCACACATACGAACATGAACATATAAAAATGACAGTTGAGCCACACATGTTGGGTTGTACACTGGAGTGGAAGCAACACTTCTAGGTCCATTATTTAACTCTAAAAGGATGAGGCTTTTACAGTTCACATGGACAGTTTTTCATACCAAAGATTTTTGCTGTTTCAGGGGTGCATACAGTTTTGAGGCTTGGAATGTTTATCTGGTTACTTGGTGTAACATCATCTTTTAAAGTATACCAAAGAAAAATGGGTATTGTGTTTCTGTGCACTAAAATTTAATTTGAATGCATTTTTTACTGAACAATTTGGGTTGTGACATTGCTATTACCATCGTTTTTGTTTTCTAAGGTCTTTACTTTCAGAAAAAATATAATTTTGGGGGGATTTCAGCAATTTTAGGCCTAAACGTCTGCAAAAACTGCTTTGACAGAAAAAGGGTTAAAGGAAGATGGCAGCTCATAAATAACTGTTCCTGTCCTATTGTCTACTACACATACATTTTGCATTTATATATTTACCAGACATTTTGGAGCATAATTATAAAGCAGCATATTTGACTTTCACTAGACACACACTGGTAATGAATCAGTCCCTATCATTTAACACTTGCAGTGAATGTTTGGCAAGTGTCAGAATCATTTCTCTGTTACAGGGCTAAAGTACAATTTCTGCTAAACCTTAGTGTATTGCGCATTTGTGCCTTTTGCACACCTTAAAAATATGATATTTATGCACTGGATGACCAGGACTAGGAAACAAAAATGTGTATGCTGCCTTTGATATATTTTTGAATGTTTTTTTTTTTTTTCTCTCTCAAAAAAAGGTCACTTGTGGTTGATTTTTCGAGCTATAGTTTTGTTTTCTTCTAACCATCCCATGCTTGCCCAAATAGTAACTGATTGCTGTGTTTCATAGCATACAGCTGGTTTCCTGTTTTCAGTTTCTCGACTTTGTTTTCTGAAGAATCCTCTAGTAAAAGACAGTCACTCAAATGCTTTTGTTTGTGACCCATGTAATATAGAAATGTTGTACTAAAAGTGCACATTTTTAGCTTAAATAGCAGCTGTAAGTATTGGTGCTCAATTGATGAACTTGTAATCCAATCCAAGAAACAATGCAGCTGTGTCAATTGACCTTTATTTGAAGAAAAGATGACCTAAAAAAATTATATGCAGCTGCTTCCTAAAATGGTTTTAATTCAGGTTTAGCTTTTAAGTCACATTTCTTTTTAGGGCCTGTTCACGCCAGGGTCGTGTGTTTTAATAGCATGTTCCCATGCGATTAATGCATGGTACCACGTAACGCACCTATTGTGTGAGATGTGCATCGCCATTCACTTAAATGGCATCCCAAATGCACTTCCCACACGCAATGCGATTGACCGTGGCTTCCATTGTTTCTGAGGAGGTAGTAAGAATTTTTTTAATTTGCTTTACAGTGGATATGCATGGTTATATTAAAAATGTAGGTCAATTCTTTCAAACTTATTTTCTTTCAGAATCGGCAGTGGAGCCTGGAGACCCACCGTTATTGCAGCAACCTGTACAGACTTCAAGGTCTGGCATACTACAAATTATTGAAAGTTTTAGATCAGGTATGTTACTTTAACTTGCATGTTTATCACTCACTGGTGGTTTTCTAGATCATCTTCATGTCAAGCAAGGTTTATTCCCATTTTTTATGCAGCAGTAAAATATGTACTCCCTAGAAATGTACTATGCTTAGTGGTTACCCTAAACCAATTTTACCTTGCACATTTTTTTATAGTTTAGTTGTAAATATAGATTTGCTATTTATCCGCTAGAGGGAACCCTGTATTTGTCACCCTCATTCAGCCTTCCTGCTTAACAACTGATGAGATGAGCAGTGAATTTCATGAAACTTGGTTTCAGAGAGACATTGACAGTTTTGTGAAATTTCTTTGAAATTGGCCCTGCTGCAAGAAAAAATTGTGTTTTTTTTTTCTTTTTTTTTTTTAGCTAGGAGCATAAATTGACTGAAAGATTGACATGCGATTTGTTAAGATCTGATGGGCCCCCATTTGTCTGTATATGCTGCACAGGCAATATAAGCACCAGTCTATATTCCATTGGTGCAGTAGAAACCTTTTGATGGCACAATGGTGATCTTCCTTTTACTAATTAGGTGCTCTAACTGGCTGTACCAGTTTTTATTTTCCTGTCCCTTGTCAATCTGCAGAGAAGGACCCATGCTGTCTGTGGAAGTAGTGGATCCCATTAATGGTGCCCATCCACAGCTGAAGCTTGTAGCTTGAAGCTGTTCATGAGCTTCTTTTCAGGCAGAATCCTATGTTTTTGGTCCAGTAGACTTCAGTGGGAGTGCCTGAAAGATGCGTGATGATTGTGTGCAACAACAGTCTCCTTCTACTAACTAGCTTTCCATTGGCTAAAAAAATAATTTGCAAAGAATAATTAAAAATAAAACTTCAAAATACTGAAAACACGAATACTCAAGTTTTAATGGGCGCTTGAGGGGCGGGCTTCCGATAACTGCAATGAGGGGCAGGCTTCCGATGACTGCAGACGAGCAGTGTGCGCGTGTGCACACCGGCCCGTTCGGCAATTGTTGAACAAGCAGGCCAATAACCCTGTACTACTTGATAAGATTCTCGGCGGCTTTTCAAGTAGTACAGTAGAAACGGTTGCACGCCTTCCATACACTTTGCGATTATCGTACGATTGCGGGATTTCCCGCGATTCTCGTACGATAATCGTACAGTGTATGGACACCTTAACACTTTGTCTACCTTTTTTGTTTTGATGCATTTAGAATGTGTTAGCTGATTTTAAACTGGAAGTTCAGTCGGAATTTAGGCAGGGCTCACACGTAGGCGACTGTGTTTTTCCGTGTTTCTACACACTTTTTTAATGCACATTTTTGTGCGTTTTATGCGCATAAATCAAATATCGCATTTTTGTGATCAGATTGTAGCTCATTGATGTTAATTTTCAAGCATTTCCTATTGATTGTATGGGGCCAAAACGAGCTGTAATATGGCAAAAAAAAAACTTGTACTTTTTCCAGCGACAGGCAGTTTGCTTATTGCTACAAAATGCTCAGATGTGAACAGGGACATAGAGATGTGATTTCTTTTTTTGGGGGGCATATTTTTTAGGGCAAACTGCTACAAAACACTCAGTGTGAACCAGGTCTTAAGTGTGACATATTTAAAGGGGTGTATGTTTATGCAATCTTTTTCTGTTTTGTTTAAAAAAAATCACTGCAAGTTAATAATCTATGACAATAAAAATGTGAAAACATTTTTAAGTTGGTAGATACTTTTTAAACAATTGCTGTCCGGTGCAATTTCTTACTATTTGCGCACACGTGATAACATCTGAATTTTTGGCTAGAAAACGGCTTAAAACCCCCAAACAATATTTTCTGAAAGCCGAGACCCTGTAGAATAAAACAATTCTAGTTGCAATTTTTTTTATGTTGCACGGTATTTGCACAAATGTTTATTTAGGTTAAAATACACTAAAATGACATTTAGTGCACAGAAACAGAATATAATACCCATTTATTTTTTTATTTGAAAGATTTGGTCACTTCGGGTAAATTGATACCAAACATGTCAATCCTTAAAATTGTATGCATCCACATAAAACTACAATACCCCAAATTTCTTATAGGCGACACTTTAAAAGCTTTTACTGCTCATAAGTTTAGTGATTGATGGCCCTAGAATTATTGCTCTTAACTTGAAAAAACCTTCAACCCTCCCAAGCATTTCACCCAGCTATTTACTGTAAAGGAGGGTTCCCTGAATAAGTGGGTTGTCCCAGTCGTGGACCCAGCCATTTCCTGTCTTAAGACCTGATACGGTTCCTGTTGAGGGCATTCCATTATTCAAAGACCCTGTGGATAAAATTTTGGAAGGAAATACTTTTTTTGGCTGTGTTCTCCCTTGCTTTCTACTGCAGTCTACTTGCTATTGCAACCATAGCTGTCTGTCAGACGTAAACTGTCTGATCAAAGACCATGGCTTGGTACCCTTAATCTGCCCTCCTGCACCCCCTGTCCTGCTACTGGAGTAGCAGGCCTGTGGGCTTGCGTTGTTGTGTCGATGGGCTAGCAGATACACTTCCCCAGGTATCTGGGATGGGTCTCCTTTTGATGCATATGAGGAGGATCCTTCAGCTCGCATGTTGGCCTGAAGAGCTTCCATGCTATAAATGCCTGTTGCAGGGGAATGCCTTTTTGGTAAATCCATGCATAACTATTTAAAGTAAGTGACGGGGGAATAGTACTCGCCTTCCCCCCCCAAAAAGGCAAAAGCTCTAACAGGTAAATCTTCTACTCGGAAGAAAAAAAGTTTCTTTTCAGGTCTCTGGGCCCAAGTCCAAGCCTGGAAATCTGTAAGACTTGGACCCCCAAGCCTGCCAAGTCTGGAAACCAGATGTTCTCTCAATGAGGGTGCACCCAACTTGTCAAAGTGTGGTGTTCAAGTAGGTACCAAGGTTTCTATTCAATCTTGTACACTGTCCTCAAGCCCAAAGGGCCAAGAGATTCGCCCCATACTAGACCTAAAGATTCTCAAAAGATTCCTTCAGGTTCAAACATTCTCTATCAATGCTACCAGCATTTTGCTGTGGGCAAACAACATTTCCTATTTGTTGCTTTTCCCTTTGATCGGCCTCTGCACCTTGGGTCTTCACCATAGTACTTTATCCTGTTTTCACTCAGGGTATTCCCGTTGTGGGATAATTGGACAATCTCCTGCTGAGGGAACAGTCTGCTAAGACAGCCAATCAGTTGAAGTCTGACTGACCGTGCAGGCCCTGCAGAGATTTGTTTGGATCCCAAATCTCCCTGTTGGTACAGTGGGCTCGGTTGTCAGATGAAGCTCAGCTCTTGATCAGTATTCTGGAACTCAGGGCAACTCAGTTGTTTCCACCCCTGGACCTCTTGACTGCAAGATCATCCAACTAAAATTTAGTGAGTCCAGCCTTGGATATCCAAGGTGTGGAAAATTGGAAAGCGGACTTACTATGTTGTCAATATTTAGATTCCCGAAAATGGTCTCTTCATCCTCTGTTGCAGGTGGGGGACCCTGGGTGTGTTTTGAGCTTTCTATCACAGGTGGGTGACGTAAGTGTGGACCTCCTGGCTTCCAGGTTCGAAAAGAAACTGGCAGATTTGTTGCCAGGATCAGGGAGCCTTGGGCTGTTACAGTAGATGCTCTGATGACGCTTTTTCTTCACTGAAGCTCCCTTCTTGTCTACTCCACTGGATCGTGATGGAAGGCATTGTGGTGTTTCTCGTGGGCAGGAAATGGCCAGGAGGATGTGGTAGACACATGGTCAAGCTTCTGGGGGACTCTCTGTAGACCGACGCTTGGGACAGAACGGGCCTACCATCTTGCTTCTCTGTTGCGTGCTTTAATGGCCTCGCTGTTGAGGACTAGGTCCTGAGGGAAAGAAGCCTATTGGATTTTGTCATTTGTAGACTTTTAAAGGCTAGGAAATTGACTCTCAGTGTGAAGGCCTTTGTGCATAGTGTTACTTACACTGTTCCCCCTGTACGTTCCCCTGTGACATATACACATAGGCAAATTTATGTATCTTCGTGGATTTATCAGCATGCTCTGTGTTGGTATGACAGCCTATAGTCACCTATAGGATAACAGCAAGTTGGATTGCACAAACAATGCAGAATATCTCAGCCTTTAAATTAAAACTCCTCTTCTTAGAACATTCATTGCAACACACTGTAGCACGAGCTATGTTTGAGCACTGTAGCTTGTGTTCGCTGTAAAGAAAATGTAAGTTCCTATGCATGTGCTAATAGATATCTGAATGATAGAGGCAAGATATGTCTTTTAAAATGAATGTATTCACCTTTGTGCATGAAGCCTTATTTTATAACATGAACTAGTTGTGTTATATGTAGGATATCAGCAGATGTGCAAGCTAAATAGATAAAGGAAATGTTAATCTTTACCAAACCTTTTACTGCTATAGCTAACCTAATGAGATCAGTTGCTTTGTTTCAACAAAAAGGCTGTATGCAAGTTTTAGTGACATTCATTTGAACTAATTGACTGGATACATACTGTATGGGCATTTCTACACATAATATAATTTTTGGCATTTTGTTCTAAACCATTTCCATCTTCTCTCTCTAGGCACTAAACAACTTAGACTGATGTTGTTAAGGGAGGTGGATACTATATTTGAATGCAAGTCATGTCGCAGCCTATTTAGAGGACTACCGAATCTGATCACCCACAAGCAGTTTTACTGTATATCCAAACATTTTGAACATTTTGTGGATGAAGGTGAGCTTTAAGTAACTACTTCGGGTATGCAGGGAGGAAAAATCCATAGGATGTGCATGTCTAGAAGTTGCCGGTCTCCTGCACACAAATCAACTGAAATTCAGGACAAGAAACTGAACACACTCAAAATTAAATAATAGGTTGCGCTTGCGGGCACACACACTAAGAAAAAGGCAGAAAGGGAGGCTGAATGCACAGAAAGTGAAGTTGTTGATTTTGTGCGCAAACAAAAAATTAAGTGTAGGTGGATACATCAGGGAGATCATTACCTCAGCACACACCATCTATAGCGTCTGTGGGATTTGCACTCCATTTTAACACCTCAATATCCATGCCAAGAGTGAGGTGTGCAATCCAGCACACACACCAGTATCCATTCTTCCAATGATTGTAACGTGTGGCCGGTTTTCTTTAATCCCTGCACAATTGCTTAGCATTGATATTGTAAATCAAGTCATTAAGCCTTTTATTTTGCACTACCTTTTCAAGAAACAGACTTTTATTTGCCAATCATATTTGTCACATTTAAACCCACTAATTTTTCTCAATATACCTGTATGGGTGTACATGAACTGCATTGAAGATTAGACCAAGATTCTTCATATTAAAAATCGAACTAGTTTATATTACATTATGTAAAATATTTTAAAAAATCATTCATACCTATTTAAAAGTTTTATAAACAACTTTATAAATTTAAGTAAAGATAGTATAACTAAATAAAGTATTTAGTAAAACAAAGCTGACTTTGTTTTGTAGAATAATAGTCTGCTGTTTATATTCTTCCTTATATTTAATCTTCCTTATACCTGAAGAGACTTTGTCATCAGTTCACCATTCTCAATTTAAAACCACCTTTCAAAAAATAAAAACCCAGTGGTGATTAAGTACCATCAAAAGAAAGCTCTATCTGTCCCAAAAAATTGTATAAAATAAATTTCGGTACAGTGTTGCATGACTGAATAAATGTCAAAGCAACACAGAACTGAATACCTAAAAATGGCCTGCACTGGAAGGGTCTTCAAGTGGTTGAACATTAATGTTATCCATGTGCAGAATTGTAACACTGCAGTAGCTTGAAATCTGGCTTACTGACAGTGAGCTAAACACATAAAAATGAGAATTCACACTGTTTCTTTTTGTTCTCTGCAAAGACTTTAAAAATGTATACAATATGAAGCTTTTGCCTCACACACTGGCTTGGTCAGTAGTAATTGTCATATGATTTCATAGCTCAGAACAAGAGAAAGTTAAGCTGGCCATACACTGTAATATCTTCTTTGTTTTATTTCTCTATCAACATTTACGAGCATTGATCAAGGAATCTCCTGTTTTCTTCAATGTATTCTGACAGTGGCCGCTGTCCTCATTGGTTGCCTGCTGTGTTCATTCGAAGATTTTCTGACCAGCTTCTTCGATCAACTGATCGAGGGATGCCTGCCGAAAGAGTGCCGACAGCGGCACCCATGTGTGAAATCCGCAATGTTTATGGCCACCTTTTAGTTTCTCTTTTGTTTATTGGAGGACACAGCTGTGCTTTAGATAATCACCTACTGTCTTTATTGCCACTTGCACAAGTAGGATGCTAAGTGCACTAAGACATTCTACCAAGGATGCGGCAGTAACCAAGGAGGACATGCCACCCAATCTTTACCCTCCAGGGTGGGCATACCCAAATTGGGACTTGCAGTTGTCCATCATGGATGGCTAGCTGTCACTGGCGGGCAAGGCTGTTCAGCTACAAATGCTTTCAAAAAAGGCCTACACTCTGTATGCCATTGCCCCCTTATTAACGGTCAGGGTATTTCTTTCCCTGCCAGAAATGTGTAGGATATTGGGGGAGCCCTCTCTCAGGATGGGCTCCCCTTTACTCATTGGCTCTGTCCCCCTCTGAATAGAATGGCAAGCCTGTCCCCTCCCCTCTGTTTCCCTCGACTCCTTTCTCTTCCTTCCCTTCTCCAAGCTTGTACTGGAAAATAAGTATAGGGAAGCTAAGCTACGAGAGTTGGAACCAGCTGTTCGGAGACCTGATAAAGGGAATTTATCAAAACTGGAGCAGATGTGCATGGCAACCAATCAGCTTCTCTCTTTCATTTTCAAATCTTAACTGACAAAACTGAAGAGAGAAGCTGATTGGTTGCCATGCACATCTGCTCCAGTTTTGATAAATTTCCCTCAATGTGTTTGGACATGTAAATAACTACTTTGCAGGGCAATGTATATTTGTTTGATCTGGATTATTATCAGAGTGTGGCTCTGATTCTGCTACTGGGTTTGGATGATCCACTTCATGAATCCTTTGTTCTACTACTATACAACAGAAAAGTGTAGATTTGTATAAATGCACAAATTGGTTATTAGCAGGTGAATCTGCATACTGCAGGTTTTCAAATTTCGCTCTGCTCACAAGTTATGAAATAGCTTGGCCAATAAGTTTGGTGTAAAGAATGCTATAACCTATCACATTACTCAGCAATATTGGGATATGTTTTTGTTTTTCTCTAGATCCACCCAATGAAAATAAACAAAGTCAAGTTGTAAAAGACTTACTGGACACAGTATATCCAAGAGCTAATCAATCAGAATATGTTGTACAATTAGAACCTATCCAAACAAACCAAAATGCAGTTTTCCAGACTTTTAAGCCCATTAGTGAAGTAAATCTTGATGGAAAGATTACATCAGACTCCGCTGACATTCAGGAGGAAGACACAGCTTCAGTTCCTTCTTCTGCCTTACCTGCAGAAAGTGAAACTGTAGTACCAACTTCATGTGAGAGTGTTAAAGGGGATACAACTTCCAGTTTTCCAAATGCAGAAGATTCTGATGTACCACACAATGCTGACAGAACTGTTAAAAGAGCTAATAACAGCAATCCTTTTTCATGTCGGCTTTGCAAGAAGGATTTTAACTGTAGACGTAGTGTACGTAGACATATTAAGAAACTGCACAAGAAAAAACTAGAGGAGATAAAGAAATTCATTGAGATCCGGCGAAATACACCCTTATCATCCACAAAAGGTCATGGTAAATTGATCTATAAAGCAGCAAGCAAAAGTTGTGACATATGCCACAAATCATTTGCTACTAAAGCAAATACAAGGAGACACATTGATGAAGTTCACAGAGGGATGAGAAGAGACTATGCCACTCAGGAAATCAATACCAAACCTGGTAAAACTGTGATTCCTGAGACTGTAACGCCTAAAAAATCACTTAAGACTATTTCTCGCACACAAAAACTTCCAGCAAAGTCTGAGGTTAATGTCTCTTCCTGCACTTGCCCATTTTGTAACAGGCGATACACCTCTCAGTTCCTGCTTAAGAAACATGTAAAGATAGTACATAAAACAGCATCCTCTGTGACCAATGTCAAGTCAGATAAAGGATACAATCATATCAGTACTTCAGACAGTAAAATAAAAACGGAAAACTCAAATACGATGGACTCTTCATCAAATACTGTAAAAAGTTCACCAAAGAGTGAATCAAAAGGTCTAAACCATGCACAAGAGAAGAAGAGTACAGCTACGCTGAAGGGTAAGGCAAAGTCTGATGGTGATTCTCCTAAACCTGGAAGTTCACCAAGTGATGACAAGAAGAAGTACAAAAAGCCGAAACTGTCAGCTGGTTTTGACTTCAAGCAACTTTACTGTAAACTTTGCAAACGCCAGTTCACATCTAAGCAAAATCTTATAAAACATATAGAGTTGCACACAGATGGCAACTGTATTTTCGTTAAGTTTTACAGATGTCCTCTTTGCTCTTATGAGACCCGACGGAAACGGGATGTGATTCGTCACATAACAGTGGTACATAAAAAGTCCCAGAGGGCACTCATTAAAATAACTGCAAATTTAGAGAGCAGAGCCATAAAAAAGCCAATTGAATCAATTCTGGAAAAGGTTTCGAAAAGGGGACCTCAAAAAGACAAAGTTAAAAAAACTGGTTCAAAACAGGATGTCGCATCCTCAGCATCCACCAAAAAATCTGAGGGAGCAGATGCTGGCATTGAAGTTAAGTTGACCAAAACCTTTTCACTGTTAAAATGTAAAATGTGTGGTAAAGCATTTGCAAAAAAGAAGGATTTGGACCAGCATAAAAAGAATCACAAAGCCAACTCAAATAATTCACCTGTGGACATAAAAATTAAAGGACGAAGTACCAGGTCTAAAATACCTGCAAGCTGAAAAGAAATCCATGTTTGAATGTGAATGGTAGATATTTTATTCAAGAAATTATTTTTATAGTATATTTTTAGAAATGTTAAGCTGGCCAGGACAACATAGATAGCAACCTCCCAAATGGTCATTGGGATGGTTTCATGGTTCCATATATTTTGCTCTTCTAGCCTACTTATTAATTTTAATCTTCTGTATTCTTCAAAAGCAAACTGCTAAACATGCAGACTGGTTGACTGTTTAAAAAAATTAAATTTAAAAAAAAAAGTGTCCATCCCCTTTTTAGTAGAATTATTCTATAGATCTATAACTATCATTAAAGAATGTTATTTGTGAATATTGAGCTATACATTTGCTTGAGGGTGAACAACAATGAATGTCCTCTTGCATCAATAGATGAACTTTGTGTGCTAGATTTTCCTAAAAGATTATTTTTTAAAAAGCTCAAATTAAGGAATCTTTTAATGCTTGGACAATGGGAACATCATGAGCAGTGCTTGATTTTTAGATTAACAGTTACGATTGTTTCCTTAAAAAAAAAATGAATGATACTGAAATATTTTTTTGTTTGTGTTACATTAGCTGTGAAAAACGTAAGTTAAATTTGAGTGCTGAAAGAAGGACTTTGTTTCATAACTGCATGCAATGTGTATTTTAGATTTTAAGTTATTAGCTTCCAAACACCCTAATGCTAGTTTTTGGGCATAATGATCAAAATCCACTGTAATACAATATAATGTTTTGAAAATAATACATATCAGATAATTTTATGAACTGTATAGTTACTTGGCTTCTTTGTAATTTTACACTCTGATTTTCACATTACTGTGGTATAATAAACTGGACTGGATAGGAAGTACATTGTTGATTCAAATTAGTATGGTTATTTTAGAGCAAAGCATGTTAAGTGTGTGCTAAAACATTTTAACTGAAGACTCTTTGCTTTGTCCTTCAGAAGCTTTCAGAACATTTTTATAGTTTACATAAGTTGAAAAAAGGCACAAGTCCATTTGAGTTCAACCAATAGAAAAATAAGTAAGCTAAACCACTTATACAGAACCCTAAGTCAGCAGTTGACCCAGAGGAAGGCAAAAAAAAAAAACTTTTAAAACATAGTTTTTTTTTTCCCCTGTTGGAGCAAATTGGACTTTCTGATCCAATAAAGCAATCTGATATTCCCTGGATTTACAGTCTGTCGTGTTAATACTTATTAGGGATGCACCGATACCGGTTTTTCAGTAAATGCCGTTACTGAATACCGATACCGGAAGTCCCATTAAGGAAGTGAGGCAGCCAGGCTTCCCGATTAGCCAGGAAGCCGGCTCCCTCGTCATTGGGTGATGAAGCATAGAGTCGGCTTTCTGGCCAATCCGTAAGCCGGGGGGCAGAGTCATTAACTGTCCCCCAACTTCCTGATTGACAGGAAAGCCAGCTCTATGCTCCTTGGTGATGAGGGAATCGGGAAGCCGGGTGGTGTGTAATGATTTGCCGCCCGGCTTCCTGATACCGGAAGTCTAAGTATCGGGAGCTTTTGTACCAAATACTCGGTATCGGCACTGATACTAGTATCGGTGCATCCGTAATACTTATAAAAAGTATTAGCTAGCTATACTCTGTACATTTTTAGAAACATATTCCACTTTTGAGCTTCTGAGGAAGTCTTACTGTGACAAAAACAAAACCTTTCCGTATGCAGAGGGTAAACCTTTATTCCTCCAGGCACAAAAAGTTCCCCCTTGCTTTTGCAATGACCTTAAAGTGAACAACGTGACACCAAGTTCAAAATAAGGAGGATATTTTATACAAGATGATCATATCTGTCCTTAAACACCTGTTCTCAAGGCTAGCAAGTGCATAACTGTGTTCATAAACATTAACACCTTAAGGACCATGGCTTTTTTTTGTTTTTGTTTACATGTCAATCCACAGCCTAAAAATTACTTAAAACCCCCAAACATTATATATTTTCTGAAAGCCGACACCATGTAGAATAAAACGGTGGTAGTTGCAAATTTTTATGTTGCACGGCATTAGCGCAAATTTTTATCAAACCCGAAAATTTAGTGAAAAATGCACTTAAGTTAAATTTAGTGCCCCAAAACACTATATAAAACCATTTTTGATAAAATATGAGGTTGCAACAAGTAAATAGATACCCATGTTGCCCAGGTAACAATTGTGTGCTTCTGCGAAACTGCGACAAAATTCAGCACCACAAAAAGTCCATAGACAACGCTTTAAAAGCCCCTATCAGTTTAGAGATATGCGTAAATATTGGCGCTAGAATTTTTGCTTTCACTTTGGCGTGCGCGGTGATACCCACCATGTGTAACACAATCGTCATTTTTGTACATAGGTGCACCCGACGTGTGTTTTACGTTCTGACGTGCGTGCTTTTTTTAAAAACATTTTTAAAAATTATTTTTACATTTATTATTTGTAAAACTTTTTTTAACTTTAATTGCTATCACAATTCCCCTATGTGATAGCATATTGGTGGTGAGAGGTCCTCTTTAAGGTGATACTGGGGGTCCAAAAGACCCCTAGTATCACATTTACACTCTAAGCTATTGAAGTGCAGATTGCAGGAGCCCAGCAATGAGAGCTATGGGACCGGAAGTGATGCAATATGCGTCGCTCCCAATCCCATATACGGGGAAGAGATTGGCGAACTGACATTCGCTGCTCTCCTCCCCAGCTCTCTGCGACACCCAAGATCCCCGGCCCGTAGGAGGGGCAGTGGAGCCCGGGAAACATAGCGGGGGGGGGGCGGTCATTTTACCATGATGGAATTATCCCATCATGGGTCGTGTAGGGGTTAAACCTCATTTGCCCCATCAGTTGCCCATCCACAGTGCATTCAAGTCTGCTTGTAAGTTAGTGACATCTTGTAGGGACTTTATTCCACCACATAACTTTTGTGTCAGCTGCTGCTACTTTTTTATCTCAACCTCTAGATCATTTATAACTTGAGCGTCACCATTTCCCTTTGTGTATGCAGAGCTATTATGTTATTTATTTTCCTTCATCTTTTTCCCCAGTGACAAAACTCAGTGACCAACTCAGAGTTCTCTTGTAAGAGAACTACATGCTCAGACCTTATCCTATTACTATTAATATAAAGATTTATTTGGGCGTCAACTTGTCTTTTAAAAAAAATTATTTTACAATTCAATTTACTTTTTACAACTTGCATTCTTTGCAACGTCAAATGATGAAAGTGTTCCTTCATGTATAGATTATTATTTTTTAAATGTAATTTTCATACTGCTTATAGAAGATCTCCGGGCAACATTTTTCTTAACCCTTGCAGTGGGGCTACCCCTGCACTGCAAGGGTTAAGTGCTTGCCATGGTCTAGTTGCAAAAATAACAGTTATACTTACCCGGCCCTTGGAGCCGGCTGACTCTTAGACTGGTTCTTCCAGCCTTGCTCCCTCTCCACTCCAGCATCCTTGAGTCATTGCATCCAATACACTGTGTATAGGACATGAGGACACCAAGACAGACTCAAGGAAGTGCTTTAAAGCGGACCTTTGCACTAAAAAATAAAATTTTACCAATGCATGCCTCTATGTATAATTAATAATAATAACATGGACATGCCAGGTGTAAAATGCTGTGATTTTTGAAATACTTACACTTGCAGAGCATTTACTTCCTGCTTTGAAAGTGCAAATGACTTTAGTTTGCCAAAGCAATGCACACTGGGATTGCCTTGTCATCAGCAGAGCATTGCTGGGAAATCTCATCTGTAATTTTACAAGATCTCAGGGAAAGTATTTTCCTCTGAGATCATGTGCATGGTTACATGTGCCGGTAATCCAGGAAGTAATAGGAGAGGTAGTAATCTGCCCTTAGTAAACATGGCCACTGTCAGAAGACTGGGGAAGAAAAGAGAAATAAGGTATGTAAAGAATACAAAGACTGCAATTACCTAGAAATATCGGTTTGTAGGTTGTCATCACTAAACATTTCTAAAGGTGTGTTTGTTGTTAATATAAAGATATGGGTAAAGGTCCACTTTAACAATCACTTGGCTGTGAGAATTGGGTGAGTATTACTTTAGACCCACTGCAAGGGTTAAGAGATTTTTAAGGCTTTCTTTAACATAACTATTGTACCTTGAAGGGCACAGCTTTGACTAAGCAGAAGCAGTAACAAGCTTCTTTATGTGAGATAAAAACCCTTCCAGAGCAACAGAAAACTCAGTTTTGCCAAAAAGGAGAGAGAGAAGGAGACAGTAACCGACAAAGATTTGCCAGATTTCAAGTTGTTAGAAACACAAGCTGCACAATCATTTTTTGCTAAAATCAAAAAAATGAACACAGCTGTCAAACTCTGTATTCAAAGCTAGGGTTGCTTAGATAGCGTTCATGACTGTATTAGTAAACATTAAAAGAAACTGGGTGTGGAATGTGCAATAATTCAAGAAAAACCTGACTGACTTTGGTCGCCTACATAAATTATTAAGGAGGTACAGAAAGTACAGCCTTTCTGCTTTTCATCTCTTCAGCATAGAGGGTGCCTGATGGGAGGGTGTTGAATTGGCAGCCAATTCCTCTAAGTCACTCTTCAGGTACTAAGGAGGTCCGCAATTCAGATTGCAATTTACTCCTCTCTAGATGTGGTAAGAGCAGTCAAGATCTACATGAACCATACATACTGTTCCTTTGCACAAGTCAGATTTGTTGTTCTTGATCCTTGTATGGCTTCTTGGCATCTAATGTGGCTATTAAAGGAGAATTACAGGGTGAGTGAAAACCACTCATCCCCATAATTCAAGCCGACCTGTGACACTGAAGCTGTCACAGGTCGGCTCTATTGATCAGGAAGTCAGCGATCACATACCACTGATCGCGGACTTCCCTATCCTCTCCATGCAGAGAGCGGTGACTGTTAGTCATCACTCCCCGCAGGGATTCCCCTCTCCGTTTCTCCAGCGCTGACTGGAAGAATGGACGGAGGAGGGGGTGGGCACAGCTGGCTCTGCCTCTAAAGAGTGTGTGTATGTGGTATGTATGTATAAAATCTCAGCCATATCATTATGACCACCCACCTAATACTGAGTAGGTCCTCCTTTTGCCAACAAAACATGTCCAAATTGCCTGACCCATTGAGGCATGGACTCCACTAGACCTCTGAAGGTATGCTGTGCTATCTGTCACCAAGCAGTCAATAGAAAATCTTAAGTCCTGTAAGTTGCTAGAT